TGAAGGACATATATCGCACACTCAGTCGAGCTGTCCCAGGGTCACCAGCACTGTCATTATTACAATAAAAGCATGATGCCTCCAATAAACAATTGCGCATAAAAACTGAGGACCTTTGCGCCACTAAACGGCTTATGTAGACGCGCTAGGCAAGCAGCTGCTCGTCTGCCTTCAGGAGTTTCCAAGCATCCACTGCTGGCTCATCATCTAAAAGTCGACTATTATTTTCCACTTCTATTGCTACGTTACGTCGCACTTTTATTATGATTATTACGATTATTAAAATACTTTTTCTCCAGCATTTCATTATATTTCTGTTACTGTTACCATTTGCTGCATGCGAAGTGGTGGTCGCGTTGCCTTGCAAATTGAGCAAATGCAAAGAGGCCGTCATGAACCGCGAAACAAAAGGGGCGCGCACAAGGACACAACAATTTTGTGCTTGTGAAACACAAGTGGTCGACGTTGTTGCAAAACTCAGCTAAAGTATGGCTCAACAGCGAATTGGCAAAACTGTAGTGGCGAATTGAGTAGGCGGTGGCGCTGAACACCGGCTACAGAAGTATCTCAATGCAGTAGCAGCTGTCGCCGCGCTGTCATTTATGCGCAATATCTATGGCTGCAGCAGCTACTCTATGCCACGGCAGTGCCAGCTGCTGTTTATGCGGCCATCAAGAGCGGCGCAAACGCAATAGACTCATACTTATCGAGCTGACGACGGAGCTGCGGCAGCGCGTTTAGCTCGCCATGTTCATGATTACGATTAAATGTCGAGTACGTTTAGCGCGCACTTCACGGTGTGGACGCAAGAAGTAGAGTTGTTGAAATGTTTTGCTGGCTTTTTATTTTCACTTTATTTTTTTTCTATTTTTTGTTTTTAAATTATTTTTTGTTTTGCGCTTTCTACTTATGTACGCTTTGTTTGCAGTGTTTCGCCAGTTTTCCACTCGGCAGTTGTTATTGTGATTGCTTTTGTGCTCGTCGTAGTTGTTGGTGTTGTTGCTGTCGCAGTTATTTTGCCAGCGCGTTGTTTACTGTCGCTCGCTATTCACCATCGCCATTGCCATAATGAAATGTTAAACGAGATATTAGCCTTTAGGCCTGACAGCGTACAAGCGGCAAGCCAACAGCAACAGCGACTGCAACAACAATGCTGCTAATGCTGGTAACAGTAGGCAGGCAGGCAGGCAGGCAGGCAGTAAGCTGCGTCTGTCTGCCATTCAAGCGACGGATTTATGCTGTCATTTTGTGTTGTGTGTAGGCTTTTGCAGCGCGCATTGTTTGCGTGTTGAAAAGTCATTCTTTTTTTAATTTCTTTATTCGCATTCATTTTCTGTCAAAGCCTTGCTGCTGCTCATTACGTTTCATTGCCTTTCATTGCATGTGTTTATTTTGTTTACAAGCGCATTTTATAGGGGAGTTTATGCTCCATAAAAGAATTGATAAAATGAGCAAATTCCAGCGTTGAGCGGCGAAAAAAAATATTTTTTATCTTTATGCTTCATAATAAACATGCTTATGCCTGTTTTTATCCTTCAACGGCTTAGGCCATTGATACATACGTACATATAATTATATACAAGCATATGTGTGAGTATCGCTTTTAATTTGGCATAGCTCTTTTCCATTTCCATTTTGGTTGTTAATAGCCACTCGTCAAGCGCAGAACTCGTACTTGTCCGGTTTGGGTTAATCAGTTATATTCCTTCTTCTGCGGCATGCATATAAAAAATATAAGCTAAGAACCGTGAAACACAGCAAAGAAAAAATGCAACCGTGTGCACAAGCAGCCATTAGTGGTTGTGGCTGTGACATTAAGCGCGACGTGGATTGCGCTGATCTTCGCGAGTCGAAATGAAAAATAATGCGCGTTCATTTAGTTTCGAGTGGCAAGAACTTGAATAAAAACTTCAATGTCAGGAAAAACGGTGAAGCGAAGGGAAGTGATTTGAATTTTTGCTTTAAAAAAAGTGAAGTAAGAACGCAGTTGTGTTCGGGTGCGACCACAATATATTATTATGAATTTAAAAATTGTCTATTATTACCAATTTCTGGATTTTTTGTGGCAACATTGGTTTTCCGATTCCAATTTCAAGCGCAAGCATGTGTTTCTTTGTTTTTTAAGAAGTCACCTAATCTATTCTGATTTTAAATTTTACAAAAATTTATTGTAGCAATACAGAAAGGTAGCAACGCTAATGGAAATGATTCTCAAATTGCCATTAATGATTTTTCTTTTGAATGTTTAGAAAAAATAAAAAGTGATTTTAAAAGGTACAAACAAATTGTTGAAGGTTTGTGGAAAGGTGGCAACGCTAATTATTCTAAAATTAAAATAGTGATTTTTTTTTATTTGTAGAAAAATTAAAAGCATATGAAATATATATAATGTTTTTGTAGGTGGCAACCCTGGTTTTCATAACGTCCGCTTCCAAGCGCAAGCATGTGTTTTTTTAAACAAGTCACCTACAAAACAATATTGATTTTAAAAATGATACAAAATTTATTGAAGATTTGTAGAGTGGTGGCAAAGCTAATTGAAATTATTCTCAAATATAAGTTAAGTGTATTTTTTTGTGATTTGTGAATTAAAGATTCTGCAGTTTTTGGTTAATTATATGCTTAGAAAGCAAAATTGTTGGCAACTGTCACAAAAAGGGCTTAGTTTCCAACGATTACCAGCTTACTGTAGCCATTTAGAAAGTTTTTCTCTTATATATTTTACTCAATATTTTTTTTCAAATATTTACTGTATCATAAAAATTTTGGCAACGTTTATGTATTTTCGTTTTTATAGTATACTTTCTTACAAGCTGGAAACCTTAAAAAAATTTTGATTAAAATATTTTTGATCATATGGCATGCATTATACATTTATTTTACTATAAAGATAATATTTTTTTAAACAAGTGGCAACTCTATTAAAAACAATTTAACGCATTTACATAAAAACTTTTTTAAAGTTAAATAGTTAAGCTTAAGTACAGAAAAATATAATTTTTTACATCCGTTTATAAATTTTCAATACACTTTTGTATAAGCTGGCAACCTTAGTTAATTTGAAATAAAATAGCGTTTTTTTTCTATAAGACACATGTAGAGCACAATCTTTTTTACACATGTGGCAACTCTATTAAAAAAATATAACTCATCTACATAAAAGTTTTTTAAAGTTAAATAGTTAAGATTAATTACAGAAAAATATTATTTTTCACTTTCGTTAGTACCACAGCTGCTTTGTTGGCTTATTCGCATCTTATTTCGTTGAAAACAGACATGCACAACACACACAAACACATTATCTCTTAAATACCTTTAGAAAAGTCTAGTGCAATTAAACTTCATACAATCTTGTGGAGACAAAATGAATATGGCAATTAACAAGCAACGAAAGAAAACTTCGTGCAAAAAAGCAAGAAACGCAAGTGTCACTTGACTTGTGGCAAGGCAGCCCACTTCAGGCGCAACAAAGTCGCTGTCAGCGCCTCTATGCACATAAATTATGCACAAGTACGACGCTTACGCATACACGTACAACTATATATATACATATATAAAGTATACAGAATAACACAAGCAAGTGTTTATAAATACAAAATGCGCGAGCCTAATGACAGTTGTGAATTATGGCAGCCCGACGACAGAGCAACACCGAAAACCTTTAGCATTGTATCTCTTTAGCATTTAGTGTGAAATTGAGATTAAGTCAAGACTTGATTTTAATTAGAAGCATTATGTATGTTTGTGGGTGTGTGTGCGTGTTCGCCAAGCATATGATGGCGGTCGCACAAGTTCAAGTTACTGAAAGCAAAGCGCAAGTTTTTCGTAACGTATACGCCACGTTGACCCCTAAGAAAGTTGAAATAGGTTAGAGAAGTGTTGAATATAATGAGTATTGGAGCGAGTAGAGAAAAGTGAATGAATGAGCAGTTCTATGGAGTGGCTGAAGGAGCAGCACCACACTTTGAGTAGAGTGAAGGTAGACGCTATACCCAGTAGTAAAGGAAGGAAGTAAGAAGGAAGCTGCAAGAATATGGATTGCGTGTGGAAGCGTGCTCCCTGAGGACTTAGCGTTTATGCTGTTCTGATCATACGAATGTGAAAATGTGCGAGTACTTAAGTATAAGTTGGTTGGCTTCACTCTGACTGAACTCAGCGAATCAGCGTGTGAATTTTGCCATTTCCTTGGTACTTCCACTATTCTAGCTATGCTGCTGTTGCTATTGTTTTTGCCAATAGCATGCTGTTTCGCGTGCACATTTAATTAAAATAACAAATGAACGTGCAAATTATAATATTTTTCGCTGGCTCATGCCATTTTATTAGATTGGCATGCTGTGCGCACAACTTAACCAAATTGGAAAGTAGACGATGGCGAAAACTACTTGTTAAGTGAAAGATTTAAAACACATATATTATGGAGACTGTGGAAAAATGTGGGTGAAATTAAATTCTTAAGCATAAATGAGGAGTTGAAACGAAAATGTTTAATAAGTGAAGACGAAATTGAAGAAAAATCAGAAAAAAAAGTTGAAAATATAAAAAAAAAATATAATAAA